ATGTTTTTACCATAGCTTTGACTGCTTCTTAACCATAGGCACAGAGGTTTGTTGAACAACTGGCCTTCTATAGATGTCCTTGACAGTGACAATTAGGTTGAGTTGGTCTGGAAGCGTCCCAAAGGCTTTGCGAGTATACTCTATGTAAGTGTTTTGCTATATACTACCCTGCCTTCGAGTCACACTGTCCACCCTAGTATCTGGTATAAACGAGCACTATCCAGTTCCCCATATGTATTCATACTTCGTAGAGCAGGTACCTTAGCATGATTATAATCGGGTAAGTATGCTGCTCCAAAAGGGTTTTCAGAGCCGAGGCTAATGTCATTGCAGTATAAGCTTCGGCTGTGAGCATTTGATATCATACCTTTACCCTTCATTGGCCACTAATTATGCTATCTAACAGACATGTTTCGGGAGGTGAAGCAAGATCAGGTATGTCCTATTTGTGTTACCAAACCTTCGCTGAACACGTTCCATAGGAGTGCGTGCGAATCGGTACAACGAAGTGTTTAATGTTGTGTGAATCTTACCCAACTCGGGAAAATAGATGCAGATTCTTCTTTCATGTGAGCTCTGGAGAATAATTTATATCCGCGCATAGGCTGACAGCTTATCAAATAGTTTCTCGGGTCGGCATATCCACTAATCGCTAGCATGGTAGACCTGGTACTCTTACTCCGGTTCGTTCAAATAACTACCGCTTTCGTGTCAAACGATGATAGTTTCTATAGGGTCTGGATACTCTACCACAAATCTAGAAGGGTGCTCTACTTCCTGCTGGTTTTGGTATTAGGTCAGTCGTTCACTAGCCTTTATACAAACAATGAAACGGAATTTACGGAACATCAGGAGAACTGGTTGTAATGTAAGTGACTAAGTGCTCACTGCATATACCCCCCTGTTTAACTCTTCCTCAGGTTGGCTATAAACAATTACGCTTCAATGAGCGTGAAAGGTAAAGTCGCTCTCCGTTGAAGTTGGCATCAATCTGACGTGATGGTAAAAAGCTTTTGTCCACTTCCAAGAGTACATCCGATACTCACAGCATAGTATGAAGATAATAACTAATCAATTTATCAGACCTATCCTCTGGGGTTGCTGGTCCATCAGTGAGAATCGCTAGCTCCATTATGGCAACAGCCTCAGGCTCTGACATTTTTTTATTCCTAGCTTTTCCCGACTATTTCTCATTGAATGCCGTGCCTCCTCTGGTCGTGGTGTGTATCACATCATTCAGAGCTACTCCTTTTCATTGATACGAATAACACCTATCGAAGTCGTTTATTATGTTCGCCATGACGGTGTACAAATACATCACCTTCTACCGGAACGGTGGCCAATTTGTCCGAGTCCATGCAGGGATAAGGTTGTTTGTTCGCGATGGCCTTTTGTGGTTTACAGGGATATTCAGTGAGTATCCTCTTTGATATCGCGATGACAATCTGATGCTTATTGGTTTTATAGTCGTGCTGGGGACTCATCTGGTGCTCCTCAACACTACCCGAGAGACCTTATCAGCCGTCATGATCAAGTACGTTTGCTGCGCAGTGACTATTTCACAAGACTCATGGTTGGGTCTGCGATTGATAGCATGGCCTTATCGTGGGTCTCTCAAATTTGCGCTTGATACCTCGGTGACTGAATGTTTGACTGCACAGATTGTACTCTGTTATCTGTTCCCGTGTGGTGCTAAATATAAGGGAGCACTTCACGGCTACAAACACGGAGTCCGTGCTATGTCATCATAGTGACACTATTCCGCTCCAGGACATTACACGTCGGTGAATCAAGCGCTTGTGGTTCTCGCTTTATCCATCTTATATGGCACTCTGATGGACACATGGGCAGGTATGTACTGTGTATCGGAGATAGCTAAAGCTGTGTAAATTTGTGCTTTCGTGCTTTCCTTCGCTTCGTCGTATATAGTAATAATTTATGAGCGATTGAAGTCAGCACCTCGGTGATGGGTCTCGTGTGACTTCTTCCGGCTTCCCACTGCCCAAGTGGTAGATGCCAAGTAGATGCAACGGTTGCCGATGAGTAAACTCATCTTTCCTATCGACGTCTCACGAGTCACGATGGTATGTTGATAACTTCTCCTAGGCATTTACAGTAATCCTTCTCAGGAAACTTGGGAACAGCACAATCAATGGGCCGGATAATCATGGAAGATCTTCAAGTTGACACTCCTCGTTTGCGCGAGACATTCCGTTACACCGTGTGAGTGTGAATTTCTTTCCATATTTATTACTAGTCCGTGAGACATTCACCGACTCGGACATTCAACTTCCCGGCTTACTGTCGTATCAATTAATCTGTAGGAGAATGCCGGGGCATATTGCACTAAAGAGGGATGTGTGGGTCAAGTAGTGGACTGGTACATAATGTAAAATCCCTGCATTTGACGACTCTGGGCTCTCTTCTCGAATCTTATTTTACATCTAAACACCAATCGAATATTTTTCTTCTCAAACCACACTACCCATCGTCCCGAGCGCCACAGCCACAGCCACAGCCAGCCACCCACCTACAACATGAGGCGAAGCACCGTTCCCTGCCTTGGCGTTCCCGATACGTACATTACGCGCTGCACAGGTGTTAACATATTCTTCGAAAAGAAGTTAGCTAGGTATCCCATGCCACCCGTGAGTCAAACAAGCACTCACCCGCCTCTAAAGCGTCATTCAAATCCTGCGGAATCAGGTCCTTCTCAACTAGACAATCTAAACATCCCAAGATTTTGGTGTTGGTTCCGTCGTCGCAATTACAGTTTGCTGTCGTACAGTCCTTTCATCCAAGTGTTCCGGTCAGTAACATCTTTAAAGTGTACTTGGAGAGAAAACCTACGGAGATAAATTTCAACGTCTCAACCGTACAGTTCCCTCTACATCCCGATTCTTCTGGGATAGCTTCGATTGGGATGGCGGTGGTGTTTTTGGATTCTGGGTTGGCGGCTTGGTCGCGTGGTCGGAGGAGGAATTCTTCGGGGACGGCTGGAATATATGCGGAGTGTGAATGCGTGATTATATGTGAATAGAAGTCGAGGACGTACCTAGAGCGACTTGGGCGCATAGGACAGGCAGGAGGTAGATTGGGAAGGAGAGTTTCATGGTTGTAGAGAGCAAAACAGGGGACCTGCCCAAAAGCGAACGAAAAAAACGAGAAAATACAAAGAACAAAAGATGCGGGAAAGATACTTGCAATTGGGCGCGTATCTTATAGTCTACGATATGAATATGAATTAGGCGCCAGGGTACCAGGATCTCTTGGCATTGGAAACCCGTCCAACAACCCGTGTTGCCTAAGTCCCTGAACGCCACATTTTGGCGGTACGGTACGTGACGCACGTTTGTCTGAGCCAAACAGATAAATTTAATTTCATACCGTGCCATCGAGTATCTTAAAGCTGCTACTAAAGGTACTTGGTGAACTCGTTTTGTCACGGTATGCTACGGATTGAGCGGATGAAGAATTGGCGCACCATACTCACGGTGAATTGTACACCTCTAGTTACGAATTCTCAAAGCTGTCCATGCGTGTTGATAAGAACCATGACGATGACGGGAACCTAGTATACAGTCACGGTAGAGTCAAAGGTTCCAAGACCTGATGCCGGTTAAAAAGCCTCCCGAAAGAAACTTGAGTGCACTGTGAAAACGAGATATTGAAGCAATGAATAAAAAGTAGTGGTATATAGCCTGAGGATTAGACATGAACATGGGCGGTATCTACATCACTTGACGGCGATGCAGAATAGGAATAGAAGAAAGCAGCGTTCGATGTGATGCTGATTTCGCACTGTCCTGCTTGAGTATCTTGATGCGAGTAATTCATTATCATGATGTATACTAGGATTCAGATGGGCGAGAAATTTGACAATTCGGTGAATTTTGAAAGGCCGATGGTGAGAATCACTGTACATGCGATAGGAGCCTCTATATCCAGGGACTATATTCCCCGTCACTCATTCTATCCTAAACATAATATATTCAGATTATATGGTACGTGTACGCCGGGGGTTGAGAACTACAACTACATTAATATAAATTAATTTGTATCATAGGGTATCTTCAAGTTAAATCATCATCACAAGCATTATCTTAGATATCGTTCCATATAATGCGGTATTCGCAATGTACCCTCCGGGCCTATTGCTACTCTGCTGACGCTTCTGGAACAGTAAGTTCGAATTACGTTGGGACGGCTGTGGTGTTTTTGGCCTCAGACTTGGAACTGGGGTTGGTGGCTCAATTAATGTGTGGATTTGGAGCTCGGGGACGGCTGGAATGTGAGGTGTGAGTTGTGATTATGGGACATAAACGCCCGGGAGACTAGGACATACCTAGAGTGAGTTGTGTGGCGCATAAGATAGAAAGCAAGAGGAATGGAAGTTGGAGTTGGAGTCTCATTCACGTGGAGTGCTCCGGGGGACCTGCGTAAAAGAAAACGCAAAGGAAAAGAAAACGAAAAAGACTTGTACTGGGGTTTAGATGTCGGTATCCTGAGCGTCCTTACTTATAGTGTACGCATTAGACGCCAGGGATCTATGGACGCTGGGAACCCGTCCATCTACGCCTCGGGCAGTGCCTAATATAGCAAAGACACTGCCGAACATGGTAAATCACCGTAACGTGATCCGTGTATCATGATGCTACAGCCTACGAATTGAACGAGTGAAGAGGCGTTATTCGTACAACTCGAAACTCGATAAGGAGGTTGATAACGGGAACCTAGTTCAAGTCTCTGAAGTCCGATGCAGGTCGTGAAAGAAAACATGCGGTAGATAAACAGTGCCCACTGCCCAATATAGTAAATACACTGCTAGACATAGTAATTCACGCTCATCTGATCTATCAACACACAGCGTGATTCTTGTTCTTGATACTAAACATCCTCCACGCCGTTGTGGGTTGACAACGGGAAGGCAGGTGTTCCTATTCATCCAGGACAAAAAACGAACCTACAGGAAACACAATGGTTTCCTCTTGTCGGGGGATTGGGGGTACGGCGGATCGAACGCGGGACCTTCAGAAGTATTTACCATGGTCTGGATTAATTTTGTAACTTCAGTCTGCTGCTCTCCCAGCTGAGCTATACCCCCGTGTTGGTACGTGACGGCGGCCGGCCACTCCACGTATGGGTATTTTGGAACGGAGGAACATGTCAGAGTTTGAGCTGGATTTCAACTTGATTTCGAAAGCAATCTTTGATGTTGCCACAGGTATTTCGGGCTAGACAGGAGCTATAAACTTGACCTAACACAAGACTAAGAATGCATAGAGTGGGCACGCATTAATGGGGTAGTGGTAACCTGGGTCGTTGCCATTTGCAGAGCTACAGCACCAGCGCGTAAGCCTCGACCCGCCGGGGGTTCGATTCCCTCTTAATGCATGAGAACGAGGCCGTGTTGTTTTTAAAACCCTCATCCCTGCAGGCGTACTTACACTGTATTTTGGATCCTAGTCGCAACACAGAAGCATTAATGGGGTAATGGTAACCCAGGTCTGAGCATATCCCGCTCCACCCATCACGTGTAAGCCTCGACCAGCTGGGGGTTCGAGTCCCTCTTAATGCGTATAGTCTGCATGTGTCTTCTTTTCCAACCCTTCCATCAGCCACACAATCCCAATTCCTCCATCTTCGTGGTGGAAGAGGCATTAATGGGGCAGTGGTAACCTGGGTTGTTGCCATTTGCAGTGGACGAGTTCGTAAGCATCGACCCGCCGGGGGTTCAATTCCCCCTTAATGCATTTCACTCAGTCTCGTTGAGTTTTTGTAAAATTTCTGCTTCATGTCAGAAGCAGAAAACAGATAAGAGCGCAAAAAAACAATCATTTCAATGAAATTATATGGGGGTACCGCGGATCGAACGCGGGACCTTCAGAAGGACTTTACCCTATACGTAGGACTTCAGTCTGCTGCTCTCCCAGCTGAGCTATACCCCCGGTGGTTGATGATTTGATTGGGGTTGTACACTATCACTATATCACTATGCAAGAAGGTGATTTTTATTGATGAGTGACTTCAGATTCAGAATGTCGTTGATGAGTACCGCACACCCCCACATACCTAGATTACACCAAATAGTCCGTTGCATTAATGGGGTAGTGGTAACCTGGGTCGTTGCCATAAATGGAACTGCTTCTGTCATCTTCGACCCGCCGGGGGTTCGATTCCCTCTTAATGCACTCTCTTGCGCACGTATCTAGGCTTTCTTTTCGTGTGTTGAGGTTCCCTCGCTCAACGATCTGGCACATAAAACAGGAAGAGGGACAGATGCATTAATGGGGTAGTGGTAACCTGGGTCGTTGCCAAGATCGTCGAACACGAAGATGTAATCCTCGACCCGCCGGGGGTTCGATTCCCTCTTAATGCATTCAGGATCCCTGTCAAATATTTTTGTTTCTCCTCTTACATAGATCTTTCCCAAGTGTAAAGCACCACGATCCAGTCCACATTCCTTCTATTCCTATTCCTACTATCTACATCCCGGAACACAACGCGAAAGAGGCTTAGACGACCAAGCTACCCAAAGCAGCAGCAACAACCAACACCACTCCAGCTCCAAGACCACGAGAAAGGATGGGGGAGGCGCCGTTCCCAGCTTTCGCGTTCTTGATTCGGACGCCGATTGCTCCGCAGGTGTTGACGTATTCTGTCGGTGTATCGCGTTAGCGTTCTTCTCTTTAAGGTGTACGGAGACCAAAAACGGCGGGGAAGAAAGGTAGGTGGTAGAGGAATTGGGGTAATAGAGAAAGCAAGGTAAGAAAGGCAAGGAAGGACACTCACCAGCCTCCAACGCATCACTCAACTTCTGCTCAATCGCCTTCTGATCAACCAAACACCCTAAACAGCCAAGGATTTGTGTGTTGGTGTCGTCTGAGCACATGCACATCGATGTTGTGCAGTTCTACACGCCAGTCTCTCATTAGCTTCAACACACGGAGAGATAGAGAAAGGAGGCGTACCGAGAGGAAATCCAACGTCCCCCTAACACACTGTCCATCACCTTGACAAGCCGCTGGGATAGCGTCGGCAGGGATTGAAGAAAGGTTTTTGGAGCCGAGGATTGCGACGGAGTCGCGTGGGGTTAGGACGAATTCGGAGGGGATGGCTGTTGGGTGGTTTGGTTAGTTTCTTTTGTCTTTTGTTTTCGTTGTTTATGGAGGTAGTGTTGAGTTGGAAGGCGGCGGAACTGGATTGGGGAAGGTGGTGTGGGTAAGGGGAAGGGCGGACGTACCGAAAACAGCACCGAAGAAGGTGAAAAAGGTGAGGAAGGCGAGGATGATGGATTTCATGGTTGTTTCTGGTTTCTAGTTTCTTGATTTCCGGTTTCCGTGTAGTAATGTGTGTGTTATCAAGTGTTAAGGGAACCTGCCCAATAATCCAAATGTCCAAACGAGCGCTACGAAACAAGAAAGAAGAAGAAGCGGAAGTAGGAAGGCCTATCAAAGGCGACGAGGAGAAGGTGGTGGTGGTGAAGGAAGAAAGAGCCCCGTGTACTGCGTGGATGGGTAAAATGGTATGTATCCGGAGATAGATGGGATCAAAACGGATATGGGAACGGTCTCCGTGGCAGCGCCTGTGCGATGTGCATGACGGTGTGCTATCTTTAGAACGGATGGGCTTGGGCTATTCATAGAAACTTCTGAGAGTTTGTCTGTACACGATACCCAATGTTTTGAGGTGTTCAGAGTCGTTGGATGTAGAGACCTGAAGAGGAAGAAAGGAACGCAAAACCCTCGGCCGACGGATGAAAGTGACACACGTGGTGCCTGGGGTCTAGGCACCGAGGTCGATCAATAGGTCCGGTGTCTAGACTCTTGGAGCCGACGGCGGTAGCGGTGGTGGTGTGTGCGATCGTCGGTATGTGTACCGTTGTAGGGGTCTCACAGAAAAATGCAGTTGCGCTGTACATACTATGTATCAATCAATCACATTATTATTAAAAACCTTTTCCCTCCTTGCATAGAGAATCAACAAAAGAAAAAGCGATTGAAGGTCATAATGATGTGCATTAAGAGGGAATCGAACCCCCGGCGGGTCGAAGCTTACTCGGAGAGGTTATCGCTCGCTAGATGGCAACGACCCAGGTTACCACTACCCCATTAATGCCATACTTGCCTTACTTTGTCCCTTGGCCAGATCCTCAACGATATAAAGCTTCAAGACAGACATCAGTGGCTGTCCGCCCGGTGTATCGCTCCGCAGCGCCTCCTCGAATCAAAGAATCAAAGGCATAATCATAATGACCGCTGACAGAGACAAAGGACGGCACCGTTTATCCGTGGTGTGTGCTGTTGGGAAGGAGATCACCATGCTAGAATCTAGAGACGAATGCTGGCGTTGACGACAACGAAGCCAAGGCCCAAGAATAGAACGTGCGTGCGACGTGTGATGTGCTGTGCCGAGGAAACTAAAATAACGTTCTGCTGTGCCGAGAGATGGCATCAAAACGCCAGCAGCGCAGACGTAGACGTAGGGGGCTGTACCGAGCATTGAGAGAGCACACAAGAGGTGTACTGCTAAGAGTGGTGTTTTAGTTAGAGGTACATACTCCCTGCAGTGAGAAAAAAAAAATACTGTAAACTGCCGGCGGCGGCCACAGCACGTTGTGATCACATCTATAGACCACGAATCTAGACTTATTTCCTATGACAACGGGTATCGTTCAAAAAAATGATGGGAGAGCCAGCACACCGCCCTTTTCTCTCTTTCCCTTTCAAACCAACATCAGCCAGGCGCTTTTACTCCTTTCCTTCCTTCCTTCCACTACCACTACCACCAAAAACGCAGGTCGTTCCCTAATCCCCACACTCCCTTCCACACGATGGACTTTTTCGACACCCGCCGCCCCGACGGCTCCACCTCCAACCTCGCAGACCACCCCGACCTCGCCTTAACAAACTCCACCCACCTCCAACGCAACAAAACAGAACGTAACCGTCTCCAAGGTCTTCAACGTACCCTCTCCCGCTCCTCCAACGGTTCTTCCGTACCAGGCAATGTCAAAGTAACACCCAATAACCCCAAAGCTATGGGTTTCCAATACCGGCTCAAGTTGTGGATGATCAACGAAGGTGGTCGACAACTCTTCTTTGGGGTGTTTATTGTCCTGCATTTGTTGGTTGGGGTGTTGGGGTATATACATTATCAGGTTAAGGATAACTTGAATAATGCACGGAAGACGTTTGGTGCGGGGTTTACGATTGCACGGTCTAGTGCTCTTTTATGCCATGTGGATGTTATTTTCATCCTCCTGCCTATCTGTCGAAACTTTATCTCCTTCATGCGTCGGACGCCTCTCGGTACGATCATCCCATTCGACAAGAACATCACCTTTCACAAGGCAACGGGCTGGTCGATGCTCATCTGGTCACTCGTCCACACCCTGGCACACGTCGTCAATGTTATCAACCTCTCCATCCAATCCGCTAGTACCACAGGCGAAAGAGTCAAGAATTTCTTCTTGCTTTGTATCCAAGCTGGTCCTGCGGTTACCGGTTGGATTATGTTGGCTGCGTTGTGTATTATGGTTTGGTATGCTAGGGAGGTGAAGAGGAGGGCCAAGTTTGAGCGATTCTGGTGAGCCGTTCTGTTTTTTCCCCTTTGTTGATGATGATGTTGACGCGGTGTAGGTACACACACCACCTCTTCATCGTCTTCTTCATCAACTGGCAACTCCACGGCATGTTTTGTATGATTAAACCCGATAGACCGCCGTATTGCTCGTCCAACACCATCGGAGTATTCTGGGTGCGTCCCCTTCCTCCTTGTCTCTTTTTTTTTTTTTGGGAAAACGCTAACGAAGGAGGACAGCGCTACTGGCTCGTAGGAGGCGTCATCTTCATCTTTGAACGTATCCTCCGAGAGGTCCGATCCAGACACAGGACGTACATCCACAAGGTTATCCAACATCCGAGTAAGGTTATGGAGTTGCAGATTAAGAAGGAGAAGACTACTGTGCGTTCCTTTCCTTTTACCCCCTTTATCCCCTTTACCCCTTCTTTTCCTTGCCCCCACGCCCCCTTGCCCCCTTCTTTTTCTCCATGCTAACGCACGCTACCGCTCGTAGGTCCGCGCAGGCCAATACATCTTCCTCAACTGCCCCGAAATCAGCTACTTCCAATGGCACCCGTTCACACTCACCTCTGCTCCCGAGGAAGATTACATAAGCGTGCATATCCGTGTGGTGGGTGATTTTACGGGTGCGTTGGCCAAGGCTGTTGGATGTGATTTTGATTCCCGGGATAAAGGAGAGAAAGGTGTGTGTCTCCTTACCTCTTTTTTGTTATGTGGGGCTTTTTTCTTACGCTAACGCAGATGCGGCTGGTGGCAGAGTGGTAGGCACCGACACGAACCCGCCTCTGAACAGGACGTTACCGAGGGTTATGGTAGATGGACCGTTTGGGAGTGCGTCAGAGGATTTTTTGGATTTTGAGGTTGTGTTACTTGTTGGAGCGGGTATTGGTGTTACGCCTTTTGCTTCGTGAGTGTCCCTGCTTTCTTTTTGTGTTGGGAAAGAAGGGAAGTGCTGAGTTGGGGAAAACACACACACAGGATCTTGAAGAGTATTTGGTACAGGATGAATAACTTTAATCATTCGGGGCAGAGTACGCGGTTGAGTAAGGTGTGTACCCCCTTCTACCTCTTCCTCCCCAACTTTACCCCGCCTACCTCACGCCAACTCCCCGCCGCGCTCGCTAACTCACTCACCGCTCGCCAGGTCTACTTCACATGGGTCATCAGAGACTTTGGCGCAGCCGAATGGTTCCACTCTCTCCTTCACGCTATCGAAGAACAAGACACCCAAAACAGGATCGAGATCAATATTTACCTGACGGCGAAGATTAAGGATGATGATATGAATAATATTATTGTTCAGGATGTACGTGCTCGCTCTTTATCTTTATCTCGTCGCGCAAGAAAACACGGGGTCGGGGCGGATGAAAGATTTTCTATTCCAAGTTTGAGTATAGGCTCTTACGGAGTCTGCATAAGAACCACGAAACAAAGAAATCCTTGTATCCATCTGACGCCCCCAATACCCCCAACATTATCTTCTCCTCCTTCCAACACTAACAAAACACGCACACTACAGGTCGGCGCAGAAAAAGACGCCATCACCTCTCTCCGCGCTCCAACACACTACGGACGACCAAACTGGGACCGAGTCTTCCAATCCATTGGGGAGAAACATCCGGATTCGGATTGTGGTGTGTTCTTTTGTGGACCAAAGGTGCGTTCCCTTTCCCGTGTTTTTTTCGGGGTTTTGGTTAAAAGTGGGGATGCTGACGCATGGGCAGGTACTGAGTAACACGCTACATACGATGTCCAACAAGTGGTCTGCGGTAGGCAAGGAGAAGGGTGCGAGGTTTTTCTTTGGGAAGGAGAATTTCTAGAGTGTTTTTTCGGTGCTTGCTTCTGTTTTCGGCTTTCTTTTGCGTTTCGAAGTGTTGAGTTGGTGTTGGGGAAGGGGAAGAAGGGGGTACTGTGTACTTCCGTAGGTAGAGGTAGAGGTGGACAAAGTATATAGTACGAGGTTGAATGTGATATGATACGTGGATGGTAATGGGGGTATTTATTGGAATAAGAATCAGGAATGGATTATTGGGATACGAATGCGAATGTGGATAGAAGCCGAGGAGAAAGGGTTATGTAAGTAACCTGCGTCTTGCGAGGAACCGCCATGACGCGAGTAGAGCCTTTCCTTAGGGTACATTGAGGTGTTTTGGTTGGAACTCGTGTCAAAGGTATGTTTCCTAGGCTTATATTCCGAGCTTCCGAGTCAAGCTGCGAACCGATCCGTTCAGTAGGAAACGAATCACGCATGCTGCAAGATCCGTTTGTACACCGTTAACTTATGTATGGAGTGCTGGCTGAGTACTTTCACGAGGAACAAGAAGCGATGGAGACGTTGCCAACTGGTGCGTTTCTTGTTTCTTCTCTTCGTTGCGGTGAGAGCATTCGACCGTGACATTCACCATTTGCTAGCTTAGGAAGGCTACATGCTACAGCTCGAAAACTTTGAGATCGAACCCATTGTTTTGTGGTTTAGCTCGTGATGCTTGAAAGCTTGACTGTCCCTAGGTTTACGATTCTCATGATTCAATCTAACGACTCGAAGAACCGCATTATGATTATGACGTTCTGGGTTCATGGTGCGGCTGTTAGATCTCGTTTTTGCTCTGGCTGCAACATTATCCTCAGGCTGGGATGCTGGCCTTTGGACTTTTTACCTCGGGTTTCGGTGAGTATGTTTCTTTGTTCAATGATCGTGAAAAGAAAGCTGATGGGAAAACTAGTTAACAGAGTTGCTTCTAGCTCCTTCGTCGGGGATACTGCGTTCACCTTCTTGAGTGGCCCGGGAGCTCTGGGATTGGTAGTGAGTGTCCAGACATTCACTGATTGTACTAGTGCTTGCTCTTTCCGTCCAGGGATCAGCGTGCTGCGCACCACATCTTTGAATTTCGAAGGCGTTACGTTTGGGTAATAAGTTCATACGCTCATCATCTCGATTCGAAGCGGAACAATGGGCGAGTGCCTTGTCTTCCTGTTTATCCATTTCCATTCAAAGCTTGAAATATTCGAGTGATATTGATTAATGTCCGTTCCCAATACGTGGCCAGCTTTCTAATTGTAATTTTTTCTTTCATGCCAGGTTCTCTTCTGTGAGGAGAACAGGGGTTATTTCACAGAAAGAACCCTTAGGTGGAGTTGAATTACAAAGGCGAATGGACGGCGGTGAGTGCCAAGTTGTCCTGTTCCATACCAATCCGTATAACAGTTGTTGATCGGATCTTCGTGCGCAGGGTTGCTCTACCTGTCTCGGTTTGAGTTTCTTTTCGTCACTGAGACGATGCTTCGGCCGGTAGCCACGTCTTCAGGTCAAGATTGGCGTGCTCGACTCTTTGGGATCGCTCTAATTTGCGAGCATACTTCTTCACGCCAACTTGACGCCAACAACGACATCCACATACCACTCTCTCTTGCGAAACTGAAGCTAGAGGTATTGGTAGGTACGTTTGACTGTTCAACGCTTGCTCAATTCTAGTTGGCGCCCGCAATTTGGCATTTAATGCCTCGATTCCATCTCAAACTTGAATGATAGCGAT